GTGGTATGGTACCTTGCAGTACAATTTCAGAGAGATCCATACACTTGAACACAAGTTATTGTCTGGAAACTAGAAAAATGCTTATTTTTGGCCCCTTTTTGGCCCCCAATTCCTAAACGTTTCGGGCAATTACCCCCAAACTCAATTCCAGCTTTCCCTTTGTGATATGGAACCTTGTAGTACAATTTCAGATATATCCAAACACTTACACACAGGTTATTGTCATGAAACTAGAAAAATGCTTGTTTTTTGCCCCTTTTTTGGCCCCTTATTCCTAAAATTTTGAGGCAATTACCCCCAAAATCAATTACAGCCTTCCTTTTGTGATATAGAACCTTGTGGTACAATGTCAGAGAGATCCATACACTTACACACAAGTTATTGTCTGGAAGTTACAAAAATGCTTATTTTTGGCCCCTTTTTGGCCCCTAATTCCTTAACTGTTGGTACCATAACCCCCAAAATCAATCCCAACCTTCCTTTTGTGGTATTGAACCTTATGGTAAAATTTCATGGAGATCCATTCACTTAAACTAAAGTTAGAGTGCGAAAACCAATGTGTCTTCGGACGACGCCGGACGACGACGACGACGACGACGACGACGACGACGACGCCAACGTCATACCAATATACGACCAAAAAATTTTTAATTTTTGCGGTCGTATAAAAATCTAAATACACGGTTAGATTCGGAATAACAAATAAATCAAATGTGGTCAAAGATTTTACAAATTTAATGTGCCATACTGTGCAATTAAAGATTACTTCTTGAAATTTCCCCCCCCCCCCCTTTTCCCCCAAAAAATTCTTTCCCTCAAGATATGGTCATTATCGCAATTCAAATTTCCAATTACCCATTTAAATTTACCATAGTGCTAACTTAATCTATTTTATAATAGAATTTAAAATATGGTGTCAAATCTTTCATATGGATTTTTTTGTTAAAAAAAAAAGATGTTCCTTTATAAATATGCATTTCTTTAAACATAATTTAAAAGCAGTGTAAGGGAAGTAATCAAAACGTTGTATTTGGATTACCTCCCTTACACTGTTTTAAATTGTCTTAATTGTTCAATAACCATTACTTTATACATAATTTAAAAGCAGTGTAAGGGAGGTAATTCAAATATTGTATTTGATTTATCTCCCTTACACTGCTTTAAATTATGTTTTGTACTGAAGCATTTGTCCATTAACCAGGACAACCTTGTTTTTCCCCCTAATTCCTAAACGGTTTGAGCCTTAACCCCCCCAAAGCAAGTCCTAACCATCCCTTTGTGGTATGGAAACTTGTGGTATAATTTCAGAGAGATCCATACACCGTTCCACAAGTTATTGTCTGGATACTAGAAAAATGCTTATTTTTGGCCCCTAATTCCTTAACTGTTGGTACCATAACCCCCTAAAATCAATCCCGACCTTCCTTTTGTGGTATTGAACCTTATTGTAAAATTTCATAGAGATCCATTCACTTAAACTGTTGTTATTGTGCGAAAACCAATGTGTCCTCGGACGATGACGATAACGACGCCAACGTCATAGCAATATACGACCGCAAAATTTTTTGAGGTCGTATAAAACCGGCAAAATTTCCTTAAAATTACCAATTCAGGGGCAGCAACCCAACAACGGGTTGTCTGATTCATCTGAAAATTTCAGTGCAGATAGATCTCAACCTGATTAACAAATTTACCCCATGTCGGATTGCTCTAAATGCTTTGGTTTCAGAGATATAAGCCAAAAACTGCACTTTACCCATATGTACTTTTTTTAGCCATGTCAGCCATCTTGGTTTGTAGGCGGGGTCATTGGACACGTTTTTGAAACTATAAACCTTAATGATGATTGTGACCAAGTTTAGATAAATTTGTCTCAGTAGTTTCAGAGGAGAAGATTTTTGTAAAAGTTAACAGACGACGGACAACAGATGCCAAGTGATGAGAAAAGCTCACTTAGCGTTTTGGGCCAGGTGATCTAAAAATGACTCCACCTAAATTCAAAAAAATCTATGTTTTATGGTTAAAAGTATTGTGTATAAGTTTCATAACATTTGGTTGAGCGAACTAAAGTAAGATAACGGAAAAGAAATAAATGTGGATAGTGTCCACATGTGGACACAGATGATGCCCCCGCTTGCATATCATATATTTATAAAGGGACTTAACTGAAGAACGATAAAAGTGACACTACCCAAATTTGAACTTGATCTGAGTTTTGTGGTAATAAGCATTGTGTGTAAGTCTCATAACATTTGGTTGAGGCTAACTCAAGTTAGAGAACGAAAACAAAAAAATTGTACTTGATCTTTACTGAGTTTTGTGGTAATGAATATTGTGTATAGGTTTCATAATGTTTGGCTGGGGAAAACTTCAGTTACAGAATGGAAACTAAAAATTTTGCAATCTTTCGATGAAGGGGCATAACTCAATAATGGTTAAAGTGACACTACCCAAATTCAACTTGATCTGTGTTTTATCAGTGGAAGTCAAAATTAAACATTGCATTGTATAAAGCATTGATTGTAGTTGATTCAACTATAATCATGGTCAAAGGAAGATAACTTCAATTTTAAAAATATATTATAAACTTGATATTTAGAAGAAAATAAAAATTTTGCAATTTTTCCATTTATAAAGGGACATAACTCTAGAACAGTTAAAGTGATGCCATCAAAATTCAAACTTGATCTGTGTTTTGTGGTAATAAGCATTGTGTATCAGTTTCATAACATTTGGTTGAGACAAACTTATGTTAGAGAACGGAAACTAAAAATTTTGCAATTTTTCCTTTTATAAAGGGGCATAACTCTAGATCGGTTAAAGTGACACCACCAAATTTCAACCTTGATCTGTGTTTTGTGGTAATAAGCATTGTGTATAAGTTTCATAACATTTGGTTGAGGCAAACTCAAGTTAGAGAACGGAAACTAAAAATTTTGCAATATTTCCTTTTATAAAGGGGCATAACTCTAGATCGGTTAAAGTGACGCCACCAAAATTCAAACTTGATCTGTGTTTTGTGGTTATAAGCATTGTGTATAAGTTTCATAACATTTGGTTTAGGAAAACTCAAGTTAGAGAACGGAAACCAATTTTCGGGACGTACGGACAAGGGTAAAACTTAATGCCCCCTCCGCTACGACGGGGGCATAAAAATTCAGCAATTTTTACATTTGTAAAGGGGCATAACTCTAGAACGGTATAACTGACACCACCAAAATTCAAATTAGATCAGTGTTTTGTGGTAATGAGCATTGTGTGTAAGTTTCATAACTTTTGGTTAAGACAAACTAAAGTTAAAGAACAGAAACTAAAAATTCCAGCAACTTTTCTTCTTGTAAAGGAGCATATAACTCTAGAATGGTAAAAGTGACGCCACCAAAATTCAAACTTGACTGGTGTTTTGTGGTAATAAGCATTGCCTATAAGTTTCATACAATTTGGTTCAGGCAAACTCAAGTAAGAGAACAGAAACCAATTTTGGGATTTACGGACGTACGTACAAGTAAGGGACGTATACGTACATACTTTCAGAAAAACAAGGATAAAACTCAATACGGTGGGGGCATAATAATAGCAGTATGACCACAGGAATAAAAAGTTTATATACACTAGATTCATAGAGGTGCTTATAACCCTGTAACAAATTTTAGTTGCTGCTGTGAAATTTAGCATTTAGGCAATAACATTTGAGATTTTTGGTTTTAAGCCATTCATTTGACATACTAGTAATCATTGCCTCTGTGTTTGGATGACACATTGTTAATTATAGGTCAACCTTAAAGAATCATACTGCCCCAGGAATAAAGTGTGAGGATAAAAAGTTCTGGATCAGCCACTGCATTGTTAAGCACTAAGAAAGTCATTTTGCTAGTACATAGACAAATGTTATTTAATCATGTTAATAATTTCTACAACACTTGTCTTGATACACTGAGCTATAATATTCTAAGAAGTAGATGCTGGCTCGGTTGCTTTTAATACAAGCCTTATCCTTGTAACAATTTGTGTACAAATGTAGTTGTTAATCGTAACACTGATAAGGAGGCTATGATAGTTGATACGAATTGTCGTTGTCAATGTTTTTCTGCTGCCAGTTTGATCCACTTGAGCATGCTGAACGAGTGAAGGTCCTTATATCCACATTGGAATGTGAAACAGCTAGTATTTAAATAACGGAATTAAAAGTTTTCAAATGATTTTTGGCATCAAAACCTTCCGATCAATTTTTGACAAAAACAATGCACTTTTCTATCAAAGCCGGTATTTACCTTTATTCATCCTTGGTGTGAAACATTAGCCATATAATTATCGTGTATTTTTTATTCTATCACCTGTGTATTGTTCAATCAAACCATTATCACTTGTCAATTATCCGACAGCTTGGTCAAAATATCAACTTGTTCTCGCATTTCAGTCAATCATACCGGATTCTTTCAATACACTTGGGCATTTACTTATTCAATAACAAACATTTGTAAATATCGTAGTAAAAATAGCGCGGGAAAATGTTCATTCATGAAATATTCATGAATGAAACGCTGTCTCATGTAGATTTCGTTTGATTTTCTCTTCAGCGCATGGCAGATCCGCGAAGTAGTGTTTGTGATACTCATTTTCAAAATGAAGTTAAATTCATCTGAATTGTCAGTGAACATTCATTCCTGTTTTATTCAAGCTGTAATCTTTTCAAAAGAGTAGAAACTCAAAATTTCAAAAGCATCTTACTAGAATCAGTATTCAAACACAAGTACTACATTATCTTGGAGCAGAACATTTGCGATAGTCTGTCACCGGAAGTTTGAGGCCGACTCCTTAGGAAAGTAGCTATAGCAAGCTATAGCAAACTTTCCAAAAATTAAAACTTTTATTAAATGTACGTCGAGAAAAAATAATTTTTCACAAGACAAACATGTGCTTTAATTACTATGTAATACTCATAGAAATAAGAAGATGTGGTATGAGTGCCAGAAATTGTCTTCACCAGATTAGACACTTAATTGTAAAATACAAAATGATTTCATGATAAATTAAATAAAATGCTTCGCTGGGCGCAGCTTGATACGACCGCAGAGGTTGAACCCTGAACAGTTGGGGCAAGTATGGACACAACATTTAAGCTTGATACAGCTCTGAATTTGGATTGTGATTAAATATTTGACACAGCATAGGTTTCTGACACAGAAAGAATGTGGTCTAAGAACTTCAATTTTTTTAATTTACCTATTATGGTCCAATGTCCAAAATCAAAATACATGGTTAGATTCAGCATATCAAAGAACCCCATATATTCAATTTTTGTTAAAATCAAACTAAGTTTAATTTTGGACCCCAACTTGGACAAACTTGAAAACTGGGCCCATAATCAAAAATCTAAACACATGTTTAGATTCAGCATATCAAAGTACCCCAAGAATTTATTTTTTGTTAAAATCAAACTAAGTTTAATTTTGGACCCTTTGGACCTTAATGTAGACCAATTTAAAAAAAACGGGACCCAAAATTAAAAATCTAAAAACACGGTTAGATTTGGCATATCAAAGAACCCCAATAATTCAATTTTTGATGAAATCAAACAAAGTTTGATTTTGGACCCTTTTGACCTCAATATGAACCAATTTGATAGCGGGCCCACAAATAAAAAATCTAAATACAAGGTAAGTTTCAGCATATCAAAGAACCCCATATATTCAATTTTTGTTGATATCAAACAAAGTTTAATTTTGGACCCAAATTTGGACCAACTTGAAAACTTGGCCAAAAATCTAAAATCTAAATACATGTTTAGATTCAGCATATCAAAGAACCCCATATATTCAATTTTTGTTGAAATCAAACAAAGTTTAATTTTGTTGGACCCCAACTTGGACCAACTTGAAAACTGGGCTCATAATCAAAAATCTAAACACATGTTTAGATTCAGCATATCAAAGAACCCCAAAAATTCAATTTTTGTTAAAATCAAACTAAGTTTAATTTTGGACCCTTTGGACCTTAATGTAGACCAATTTAAAAAACGGGACCCAAAATTAAAAATCTAAATACACAGTTAGATTTGGCATATCAAAGAACCCCAATAATTAAATTTTTGATGAAATCAAACAAAGTTTAATTTTGGACCCTTTTGACCTCAATATGAACCAATTTGATAGCGGGCCCACAAATAAAAAATCTAAATACATGGTAAGATTCAGCATATCAAAGAACCCCATATATTCAATTTTTGTTGAAATCAAACAAAGTTTAATTTTGGACCCCAGTTTGGACCAACTTGAAAACTGGGCCAAAAATCTAAAATCTAATTACATGTTTAGATTCAGCATATCAAAGAACCCCATATATTCAATTTTTGTTGAAATCAAACAAAGTTTAATTTTGGACCCCAACTTGGACCAACTTGAAAACTAGGCCCATAATCAAAAATCTAAACACATGTTTAAATTCAGCATATCAAAGAACCCCAAGAATTCAATTTTTGTTAGAATCAAACTAAGTTTAATTTTGGACCCTTTGGACCTTAATGTAGACCAATTTAAAAAACGGGACCCAAAATTAAAAATCTAAATACACGGTTAGATTTGGCATATCAAAGAACCCCAATAATTCAATTTTTGATGAAATCAAACAAAGTTTAATTTTTGACCCTTTTGACCTCAATATGAACCAATTTGATAGCGGGGTCCACAAATAAATAAATGTGGATAGTGTCCACATGTGGACACAGATGATGCCCCCGCTTGCATATCATATAGTTATAAAGGGACATAACTGAAGAACGGTAAAAGTGACACTACCCAAATTTGAACTTGATCTGAGTTTTGTGGTTATAAGTATTGTGTGTAAGTCTCATAACATTTGGTTGAGGCTAACTTAAGTAGAGAACAGAAACTAAAAATTCAGCAATTTTTCTATTTGTAATGACGCATAACTCTAGAACGGTTGTGTATAAGTTTTACAACATTTGGTTGAGACAAACTAAAAAATTCAGCAATTTTTATGTTTATAATGGGACATAACTCTAGAATGGTAAAAGTGTTGCCACCTAATTTCGTACTTAATCTGTATTATGTAGTAATTAGCATTGTGTATAAGTTTCATAACATTTGGTTGAGGCAAACTCAAGTTAGAGAACTGAAACAAAAAAATTGTACTTGATCTTTACTGAGTTTTGTTGGAATGAATATTGTGTATAGGTTTCACAATGTTTGGCTGGGGAAAACTTCAGTTACAGAATGGAAACTAAAAAATTTTGCAATCTTTCTATTTATAAAGGGGCATAACTCAATAATGGTTAAAGTTACACTACCCAAATTCAACTTGATCTTTGTTTTATCAGTGGTAGTCAAAATTAAACATTGCATTGTATAAATCATTGATTGTAGTTGATTCAACTATAATCATGGTCAAAGGAAGATAACTCCAATTTTAAAAATATATTATATAAGAAAATAAAAATTTTGCAATTTTTCCTTTTATAAAGGGGCATAACTCTAGATCGGTTAAAGTGACACCACCAAAATTCAAACTTGATCTGTGTTTTGAGGTAATAAGCATTGTGTATAAGTTTCATAACATTTGGTTGAGGCAAACTTAAGTTAGAGAACGGAAACTAAAAATTTTGCAATATTTCCTTTTATAAAGGGGCATAACTCTAGATCGGTTAAAGTGACGCCACCAAAATACAAACTTGATCTGTGTTTTGTGGTAATAAGCATTGTGTATAAGTTTCATAACATTTGGTTGAGGCAAACTCAAGTTAGAGAACGGAAACCAATTTCGGGACGTACGGACGGACGTACGTACGTACAGACGGACAAGGGTAAAACTTAATGCCCCCTCCGGTACGGCGGGGGCATAAAAATCTAAATACATGGTTAGATTCAGCATATCAAAGAACCCCATATATTCAATTTTTGTTGAAATCAAACAAAGTTTAATTTTGGACCCCAATTTGGACCAACTTGAAAACTGGGCCAAAAATCAAAAATCTAAATACATGTTTAGATTCAGCATATCAAAGAACCCCATATATTCAATTTTTGTTAAAATCAAACAAATTTTAATTTTGGACCCTTTGGACCTTAATGTAGACCAATTTGAAAACTGCATCCAAAATTAAAAATCTAAATACATCGTTTGATTCGGCATAACAAATCAATAAATGTGGTCAAAGATTTTACAAATCTAATGCGCCATACTGTGCAATTAAAGATTACTTCTTGAAATTATTCAATATTTGAAATTTGAAAAAAAATAATATTTGAAGAATAATTCTTTTTAATTTCTGAAATCTGAAATGAGAAAAAATTGACCCCCCACAATTTCTTTTTACCCCCCCCCCCCCCCCCATTTTTCCCCCCAAACCATAATTACCCATTTAAATTTACCATAGTGCTAACTTAATCTATCTTATAATAGAATTTAAAACATAGTGTCAAATCTTTCATATGGATTTTTTTGTAAAAAAAAAAGATGCAACATTTGCAGATATTTTTACTGGTCTTCCTTTATAAATATGCATTTCTTTAAACATAATTTAAAAGCAGTGTAAGGGAAGTAACCAAAACGTTGTATTTGGATTACCTCCCTTACACTGTTTTAAATAATCTTAATTGTTCATTAACCATTACTTTATACATAATTTAAAAGCAGTGTAAGGGAGATAATTTCAATGATGTATTTGATTTATCTCCCTTACACTGCTTTAAATTATGTTTTGTACTAAAGTATTTGTCCATTAACCAGGACAACCTTGTTTTTCCCCCTTTTTTGCCCCTAATTCTTAAACGGTTTGAGCCATAACCCCTCAAAGCAAATCCTAACCATCCTTTTGTCGTATGGAAACTTGTAGTATAATTTCAGAGAGATCCATACACCGTTCCACAGTTATTGTCTGGAAACTAGAAAATGCTTATTTTTGGCCCCTAATTCCTTTACCGTTGGTACCATAACCCCCAAAATCAATCCCTACCTTCCTTTTGTTGTATTGAACCTTATGGTAAAATTTCATAGAGATCCATTCACTTAAACTAAAGTTAGAGTGCGAAAACTAATGCGTCTTCGGACAATGACGCCGGACGACGACGACGACGCCAACGTCATACCAATATACGACCACAAAAATTTTTTTGCGGTCGTATAACAAGTGAAACAATTGTTAGTTATATTCAAACACTTTTACAGTAAAACTGTTATGAGTCATTAAAATCACTTCAATTAAAAATTTTTGAATTCCATAAACATTCTTGAATGTTTTTAGAAAAAACGATTAGAACTTCATAAAGTAAATGCGATGAAACCAGTCAATACAAGTTCGTTGATGCCATGAATCTAGTGTGAATAATTTTAAGTTTGAAAAAAAACTCCAGATCTTTCAAGTCATCTCAAAATGACCAAAATTGTGTGAAAAATTTCCTGATCCTTACTTGAGACAATCTTACCCTACATTTGGTAATCCAACAATACCAATCTTTAGATTTGATCCCAATCTTCCAAAAAAAGGAGGTGGAACATTAGCATCTCCTTTCTTTTTTGGAGGCATTTTTATGTTTATATCTACAAAACAAAAAAGAAACATATTGTTATGAAAGAAATGTACTGCTTTTCATACTAAACTTTTGAAAAGCAAGCCAAAATTATCATGATTATGCAGATGTTGGAATGGTACAGTCATTCTTTGTCAGGTACATGTATCTTATCATCTTGATACATAAAATAAAACCCCTCAAAAAAGCAATTCTTGCGACATATTCTATTTCAAGACCCCAGATTACACATTGAATGGGCATCTTCTAATAGTAAATATTGATCCTCTGAGAAAGGTAAAATATAAAGAATAAAGGTGCAAGACCACCAATTCACCCACTCCAATTTAGAACATATGTATAAGTAGCCATTCCCTGACAAAAATAGTGAGTTTGATGCCATTGATTACTTAAACTAACCAACAAATTTGCAGAAATGAAACTTTTGGTGAAAAAGAAATAAACTTAGACCATTTTGAGCCAAAATCTCCTGGTACTTGTCCATGAGTTTGGATTAAAAATTGAGGATAAATGCACTCCAATAAAGATTATCATATATTCTATAATGATTTAATGAAATATCAAGGAATGTTTTTTTGTTCATCGTGATAAATGTTTAAAAGGTTTTAAAACAAGAGGCTGTCAGAATGACAGCAAACCAGATTTTCCTGCAGAGGTTGAGCAAGTATGGACACAACATTTAAGCATAAAACAGCTCTGAATTTGGATTGTGATTGAATATTTGACACAGCATAGGTTTGTGACACAAAACGATTGTGGTCAAAGAACTGAAAAATTTGAAATCGGACATTTACCTATTATGGTCCAATATCCAAAATCTAAGTACATTGTTAGAATCAGCATATCAAAGAACCCCAAGAATTCAATTTTTGATGAAATCAAACAAAAGTTTAATTTAGGACCCTTTGGACCTCAATGTGGTATTATCTAATTAATAATGAAAATAAATACAGGTTAAGATTCAGCATTTCAAAAAACCCTATATATATATTCAATTTATGTTGAAATCAAACACAGTATAATTTTGGACCCCGATTTGGACCAACTTGAAAACTGGGCCCAAAATCAGAAATCTAAATATATGTTTATTCATCAAAAATATATAGCATTCAGAAAATAAGTTTATACAGAATAACAAAACAAACCTACCACAAAATTCTTCAAACAATTTACCAAAGAAAAGAATAAAAAAAATAAAAAAATGTCATTTATAATTAATACAATATCTATTAATAAAATGCTCCGCAGGGCGCAGCTTGATACGACCGCAGAGGTCGAACCCTGAACAGTTGGGGCAAGTATGGACACAACATTCAAGCTTGATACAGCTCTGAATTTGGATTGTGATTAAATATTTGACACAGCATAGGTTTCTGACACAGAATGAATGTGGTCTAAGAACTTAAAAATTTTAAATTGGACATTCACCTATTATGGTCCAATATCCAAAATCTAAATACATGGTTAGATTCAGCATATCAAAAAACCCCAAGAATTCAATTTTTGATGAAATCAAACAAAGTTTAATTTTGGACCCTTTTGACCTCAATGTGGACAAAGTTGATAACGGGGCCCAAAATTCAAAAATCTAAATACATGGTTAAATTCAGCATATCAAAGAACCCCATATATTCAATTTTTGCTGAAATCAAACAAAGTTTAATTTTGGACCCCGATTTGGACCAACTTGAAAACTGGGCCCATAATCAAAAATCTAAATACATGTTTAGATTCAGCATATCAAAGAACCCTAAAAATTCAATTTTTGTTAAAATCAAACTAAGTTTAATTTTGGACCCTTTGGACCTTTATGTAGACCAATTTGAAAACGGAACCAAAAATTAAGAATCTAAATACACGGTTAGATTCGGCATATCAAAGAACCCCAATAATTCAATTTTTGATGAAATCAAACAAAGTTAAATTTTGGACCCTTTGGACCTCAATGTGGACCAATTAAAAAACGGGGGCCCAAAATCCAAAAACTTAATACACGGTTAGATTCAGCATATTAAAGAACCCCAAGAATTCAAGAATAAAACCCCATTGAAATTGATCAAGAAATAAGCAATTTATACGAAATATCTTCTTTTGCACAATACTGTGCAATTGAATATTTCTTGCTATTGCGCAATACTGTACAATTGACAATTTCTTGCTATTGCGCAATATTGTGCTATTGGATATTTCTTGCTATTGCGCAATACTGTGCAATTGAAGATTTCTTGCTATTGCGCAATACTGTGCAATTGAAGATTTCTTGCTATTGTGCAATACTGTGCAATTGAAAATTTCTTGCTATTGCACAATACTTATTATATAATAATTTACACATCCTGTTTGGTGTGTATCTCCTACAATATCATTATTATTTGCTTTTAAATATTAATCAGATATAACCAACTTAAAATGGAAAATTTTAAAAGAAAAAAAAAGTAAAAAAAAAATCCCCCCCCCCCAAATTTTTTGAACCCCCTTATGATTCATCACCCCCAAACTCAATCCCAGCCTTCCCTTTGTGGTATGGTACCTTGCAGTACAATTTCAGAGAGATCCATACACTTGAACACAAGTTATTGTCTGGAAACTAGAAAAATGCTTATTTTTGGCCCCTTTTTGGCCCCCAATTCCTAAACGTTTTGGGCAATTACCCCCAAACTCAATTCCAGCTTTCCCTTTGTGATATGGAACCTTGTAATACAATTTCAGAAATATCCAAACACTTACACACAAGTTATTGTCATGAAACTAGAAAAATGCTTGTTTTTTTCCCCTTTTTTGGCCCCTAATTCCTAAAATTTTGAGGCAATTACCCCCAAAATCAATTACAGCCTTTCCTTTGTGATATGGAACCTTGTGGTACAATGTCAGAGAGATCCATACACTTACACACAAGTTATTGTCTGGAAGTTACAAAAATGCTAATTTTTGGCCCCTTTTTGGCCCCTAATTCCTTAACTGTTGGTACTATAACCCCCAAAATCAATCCCAACCTTCCTTTCGTGGTATTGAACCTTATGGTAAAATTTCATGGAGATCCATTCACTTAAACGAAAGTTAGAGTGCGAAAACCAATGTGTCTTCGGACGACGCCGGACGTTGACGACGAAGACGACGACGACGCCAACGTCATACCAATATACGACCAAAAAATTTTTAATTTTTGCGGTCGTATAAAAATCTATAAAACTTATCTGTAATTATCTTCAAAATGTCTAATAATGAACAGTAAATTTCAAACTTTATTTATACAGTCCTACAGATCTTATCATCATCAACACTTAGGAAACAGAAAATTTTCAAATAAATCTGTCACTCCAATTATGATTGTGTGATAAGATATTTACCAGATGCTTTGTTATCTGATAACAGGTGAACATTATTTTAAAAACACTTAGTGTAATCAAACTTTATATATATAATCAATAGTTCCCAATATTTTTTCTTTCATTTGTCACAAACTAATACATGTATAGATATACAACTTGCCTATCAATGTCAACAATTTTATCTACACAACGTAATGTAATCATTAATGAAATATATCCGATTATTATGTAATGAAAATGGTATTTGCAAATCACAATTTGTTCAAAGGGAAATAACTCAATCATATAATAAGTATAACTTTTGGCTACTAAAAGGTCAACAACTCAACAACGAGAAAAGCTAAAATCATGAAAATTGAACTTAACCTTCATTTAGTCACAGGAAACAACATATCTAAATTTGATATAATTTTGTCAAAGCGTTTGAATGTTAATGGACGGACACTGTTTGGCAGCCACCCGCCCGCCATACATCCCCAAATCAATAACCGATTTTTCCTTCGAAAATCCGGTTAAAAATCAAAGTACCAAGTGCATACTAAATGAAGGAAAAAATAAAATTTACAAGTTGCATCAGAAAGCCAAAAATGTTTAAAATTTCCCTGCAAATATTTAAATGTAATTCAAAGTAATTGAAAATTAATTTACAATTACATGGCAACAAAGGCAATGTAATTCATTACATGTAATTGAAAATATGCTCAATTACACATTACATTGAAATTACTTTCAAAATTGTAATTAATTACAGCTAATTACAATTACATTTTTAATTACCCCAGGTCTGCACTCCATAGTATACTCATTTAAGATTTCCAGAAAATCAGATGTAATTTTAGTAGTAGTTCCCTTCTGAACGGTCGTGTTTCACTACAAGACTTTAAACATTGGTTGAAAATTGGCATGTAGAAAGGTGATATGTACAATTCAGGATATACCTGGTTTCTATGAAGTTAAACTTGAGGTAAAATATTTAGAACGCTGTGAAAATTGAAAAAAGTTGGTTGAATAGATAGGGATTTTGTTGAATTGGTGGTCTGACACCTAAAACCACTAAATAATAGCCACATAGCTTTCTATGTTAAATTCTGTAATTTCAAGAACTCATAGCTATTTTGTCTAAATTTTAAAACTAGAGGCTCTCAAGAGCCTGTGTCGCTCACCTGATTCTACTTTGGTTTTGGAAATCACGTAAAAATAGATTAAATTCATAAGATACCCTAATAATGATTGAGGCCAAATTTGGTTTAATATTGGCCCCGTAATTTAATCAAAGGCAGAAGACTTTTGTAAAGTTTTCAGAAATTACCAATAAATTCATTGAAATTGTAGACAAGAGGCTGTCAGAGTGACAGCAAACCGGATTTTCCTGCAGAGGTCAAACCCTGAACAGTTGAGCAAGTATGGACACAACATTTAAGCTCTGAATTTGGATTGTGATTGAATATTTAATACAGCATGGGTTTGTGACACAAAATAAATGTGGTCAAAGAACTGAAAAATTTGAAATTGAACATTTACCTATTATGGTCCAATATCCAAATGCTAAGTACATTGCTAGAATCAGCATATCAAAGAACCCCAAGAATTCAATTTTTGATGAAATACTTCTTAGTTAAACCATTTCTGTTTAAATGGAAATAACTTAAACTTTATTTCCATGAACTAATCATGTTAATCTAAAATTAAATATGATTTAACCATAGACTCTAAAATTAGATATGATGTAAAGAGATATGATGTTATATTTATTTTTGAATTATAATCAAATATAAATAATAGTTTTCTAATAAATCTGTCACTCCAATTATAATTGGGTGATTGCATTGAAAATTACCAAATGTGACTGTTATCTTATCACTTAGTGTATAAATCAAAATCAAACTTTATATATATATATAGTTGATAGTTCCCAATATTTTGTCTTTCATCTGTAACATACTAATATAGATCTGCAACTTATCTGATCTTAATTTTAACTTTTTAACTTATAAATAATAGATTATTATCTAATGAATCATGCTTGCAAATTGAAAGGTCATTTCCCCTTGAACAGAACTATGGTTTAACCTTTTAACAAAGTACTCTAACATTAGGTATATAATTATTAGTAATGTAATTAACTTCAAAATGTCTATCTCTTAAAAACCTATAAAACTTATCTGTAATTATTACCTGAAAAGTGTCTAATAATGAACAGTAAATTTCAACCTTCATTTATACAGTCCTACTAGTAAATTTCAAACTTTATATATACAGTCCTACAGATCTTATCAGGAAACAGAAAATTTTCAAATAAATCTGTCACTCAAATTATAATTGTGAGATAAGACTTTTACCATATGCTTTACCTTAGTCATAATATTATGACAAGAGAGAAAAATATTTAAAAATACCCAATTTTGTATATTAATAAAATGCTCCGCAGGGCGCAGCTTGATACGACCGCAGAGGTCGTTCCTGAACAGTTGGCGCAAGTATGGACACAACATTCAAGCTTGATACAGCTCTGAATTTGGATTGTGATTAAATATTTGACATAGCATAGGTTTCTGACACAGAATGAATGTGGTCTAAGAACTTAAAAATTTTAAATTGGACATTCACCTATTATGGTCCAATATCCAAAATCTAAATACATGGTTAGATTCAGCATATCAAAGAACCCAAAGAATTCATTTTTTGATGAAATCAAACAAAGTTTAATTTTGGACCCTTTTGACCTCAATGTGGACAAAGTTGATAACGGGGCCCAAAAATCAAAAATCTAAATACATGGTTAGATTCAGCATATCAAAGAACCCCATATATTCAATTTTTGCTGAAATCAAACAAAGTTTAATTTTGCACAGTATTGGACCCCGATTTGGACCAACTTGAAAACTGGGCCCATAATCAAAAAGTTTAATTTTGGACCCTTTGGACCTTAATGTAGACCAATTTGAAAACGGAACCAAAAATTAAGAATCTTAATACATGGTTAGATTCGGCATATCAAAGAACCCCAATAATTCAATTTTTGATGAAATCAAACAAAGTTAAATTTTGGACCCTTTGGACCTCAATGTGGACCAATTTAAAAATGGGGCCCAAAATCCAAAAAACTTAATACACGGTTAGATTCAGCATATTAAAGAACCCCAAGAATTCAAGAATAAAACCCCATTGAAATTGATCAAGAAATAAGCAATTTATACGAAGTATCTTCTTTTGCACAATACTGTGCAAATGAATATTTCTTGCTATTGCGCAATACTGTACAATTGACAATTTCTTGCTATTGCGCAATATTGTGCTATTGGATATTTCTTGCTATTGCGCAATACTGTGCAATTGAAGATTTCTTGCTATTGCGCAATACTGTGCAATTGAAGATTTCTTGCTATTGTGCAATACTGTGCAATTGAAAATTTCTTGCTATTGCACAATACTTATTATATAATAATTTACACATCCTGTTTGGTGTGTATCTCCTACCATATCATTATTATTTGCTTTTAAATATTAATCAGAAATAACCAACTTAAAATGGAAAATTTTAAAAGAAAAAAAAAAGGAAAAAAAAAAAAAAAAAAAGAAAAAAAATCCCCCCTCCCAAATTTTTTGAACCCCCTTATGATTCATCACCCCCAAACTCAATACCAGCCTTCCCTTTGTGGTATGGTACCTTGCAGTACAATTTCACAGAGATCCATACACTTGAACACAAGTTATTGTCTGGAAACTAGAAAAATGCTTATTTTTGGCCCCTTTTTGGCCCCCAATTCCTAAACGTTTCGGGCAATTACCCCCAAACTCAATTCCAGCTTTCCCTTTGTGATATGGAACCTTGTAGTACAATTTCAGAAATATCCAAACACTTACACACAAGTTATTGTCATGAAACTAGAAAAATGCTTGTTTTTTGCCCCTTTTTTGGCCCCTAATTCCTAAAATTTTGAGGCAATTACCCCCAAAATCAATTACAGCCTTCCCTTTGTGATATGGAACCTTGTGGTACAATGTCAGAGAGATCCATACACTTACACACAAGTTATTGTCTGGAAGTTACAAAAATGCTTATTTTTGGCCCCTTTTTGGCCCCTAATTCCTTAACTGTTGGTACCATAACCCCCAAAATCAATCCCAACCTTCCTTTCGTGGTATTGAACCTTATGGTAAAATTTCATGGAGATCCATTCACTTAAACTTAAGTTAGAGTGCGAAAACCAATGTGTCTTTGGACGACGCCGGACGACGCCAGACTACGACGACGCCAACGTCATACCAATATACGACCAAAAAATTTTTAATTTTTGCGGTCGTATAAAAAGGAAAAAAAAAATTCCCCCATCCCCCCAATTTTTTGAAACCCCCTTATGATTCATCACCCCCAAACTCAATCCCAGCCTTCCCTTTGTGGTATGGTACCTTGCAGTACAATTTCAGAGAGATCCATACACTTGAACACAAGTTATTGTCTGGAAACTAGAACTAGAGGCTCTAAAGAGCCTGTGTCGCTCACCTTGGTATATGTGCATATTAAACAAAGGACAAAGATGGATTCATGACAAAATTGTGTTTTGGTGATGGTGATGTGTTTGTAGATCTTACTTTACTGAACATTCTTGCTGCTTACAATTATCTCTATCTATAATGAACTTGGCCCAGTAGTTACAGTGGAAAATATTTTAAAATTACCAATTCAGGGGCAGCAACCCAACAACGTGTTGCCTGATTGGTCTGAAAATTTCAGAGCAGATAGATCTTGACCTGATGATCAGTTTTACCCTATGTCAGATTTACTCTAAATGCTTTGGTTTCAGAGATATTAGCCAAAATCTACATTTTACCCCTATGTTCTATTTTTAGCCATGTCGGCCATCTTGGTTTGCGGGCGGGGTCATCGGACACATTTTTTAAACTATATACCCTAATGATGATTGTGTAAAAGTTTGGTTAAATTTGTCTTAGTAGTTTCAGAGGAGAAGATTTTTGTAAAAGATTACAAAAATTTACGAAAAATGGTTAAAAATTGACTATAAAGGGCAATAACTCCTTAAGGGGTCAACTGACCATTTTGGTCAAGTTGACTTAATTGTAGATCTTACTTTGCTGAACATTATTGCTGTTTACAGTATATCTCTATCTATAATAATATTCAAGATAATAACCAATAAAATGCTTCGCTGAGGCGCAGCTTGATACGACCGCAGAGGTCGAACCCTGAACAGTTGGGGCAAGTATGGACACAACATTCAAGCTTGATACAGCTCTGAATTTGGATTGTTATTAAATATTTGACACAGCATAGGTTTCTGACACAGAAAGAATGTGGTCTAAGAACTTGAATTTTTTTAATTTACCTATTATGGTCCAATGTCCAAAATCAAAATACATGGTTAGATTCAGCATATCAAAGAACCCCATATATTCAATTTTTGTTGAAATCAAACAAAGTTTAATTTTGGACCCCAACTTGGACAAACTTGAAAACTGGGCCCATAATCAAAAATCTAAACACATGTTTAGATTTAGCATATCAAAGAACCCTAAGAATTCAATTTTTGTTAAATTCAAACTAAGTTTAATTTTGGACCCTTTGGACCTCAATGAAGACCAATTTTAAAAAATGGGACCCAAATTAAAAATCTAAAAACACGGTTAGATTTGGCATATCAAAGAACCCCAATAATTCAATTTTTGATGAAATCAAACAAAGTTTAATTTTAGACCCTTTTGACCTCAATATGACCAATTTGATAGCGGGGCCCACAAATAAAAAATCTAAATACATGGTTAGATTCAGCATATCAAAGAACCCCATATATTCAATTTTTGTTGAAATCAAAAAAAGTTTAATTTTGGACCCCAACTTGGACCAACTTGAAAACTGGGCCCATAATCAAAAATCTAAACACATGTTTAGATTTAGCATATCAAAGAATCCTAAGAATTCAATTTTTGTTAAAATCAAACTAAGTTTAATTTTGGACCCTTTGGACCTCAATGAAGACCAATTTTAAAAAATGGGACCCAAATTAAAAATCTAAAAACACGGTTAGATTTGGCATATCAAAGAACCCCAATAATTCAATTTTTGATGAAATCAAACAAAGTTTAATTTTAGACCCTTTTGACCTCAATATGAACCAATTTGATAGCGGGGCCCACAAATAAAAAATCTAAATACATGGTTAGATTCAGCATATCAAAGAACCTCATATATTCAATTTTTGTTGAAATCAAACAAAGTTTAAATACTGGACCCTATCTTGGACCAACTTGAAAACTGGGTCCATAATCAAAAATCTAAACACATGTTTAGATTTAGCATATCAAAGAACCCCAAGAATTCAATTTTTGTTAAAATCAAACTAAGTTTAATTTTGGACCCTTTGGACCTCAATGAAGACCAATTTTAAAAAATGGGACCCAAATTAAAAATCTAAATACAAGGTTAGATTTGGAATATCAAAGAACCCCAATAATTCAATTTTAGATGAAATCAAAGAAAGTTTAATTTTAGACCCTTTTGACCTCAATATGAACCAATTTGATAGCCGGGCCCACAAATAAAAAATCTAAATACATGGTTAGATTCAGCATATCAAAGAACCCCAAGAATTCAATTTTTGTTAAAATCAAACTAAGTTTAATTTTGGACCCTTTGGACCTTAATGTAGACCAATTTAAAAAACAGGACCCAAAATTAAAAATCTAAATACACGGTTAGATTTGGAATATCAAAGAACCCCAATAATTCAATTTTTGATGAAATCAAACAAAGTTTAATTTTGGACCCTTTTGACCTCAATATGAACCAATTTGATAACAGGGTCCACAAATAAAAAATCTAAATACATGGTTAGATTCAGCATATCAAAGAACCCCATATATTCAATTTTTGTTGAAATCAAACAAAGTTTAATTTTGGACCCCAATTTGGACCAACTTGAAAACTGGGCCAAAAATCAAAAATCTAAATACATGTTTAGATTCAGCATATCAAAGAACCTCATATATTCAATTTTTGCTAAAATCAAACAAAGTTTAATTTTGGACCCTTTGGACCTTAATGTAGACCAATTTGAAAACTGGACCCAAAATTAAAAATCTAAATACACTGTTAGATTCGGCATAACAAATAAATAAATGTGATCAAAGATTTTACAAATCTAATGCACCATACTGTGCAATTAAAGATTACTTCTTGAAATTTTTCAATACATGTATTTGAAATTTGAAAAAAAAATAATATTTGAAGAATAATTCTTTTTAATTTCTGAAATCTGAAATGAGAAAAAATTGACCCCCCACAATTTCTTTTTATCCCCCCCCTTTTTTCCCCCAAAAAATTCTTTCCCTCAAGATATGGTCATAATCTCAATTCAAATTTCCAATGGAGTTGGCAACCATAATTACCCATTTAAATTTACCATAGTGCTAACTTAATCTATTTTATAATAGAATTAAAAATATAGTGTCAAATCTTTCATATTGATTTTTTTGTAAAAAAAAAAGATGCAACATTTGCAGATATTTTACTGGTCTTCCTTTATAAATATGCATTTCTTTAAACATAATTTAAAAGCAGTGTAAGGGAAGTAACCAAAACGTTGTATTTGGATTACCTCCCTTACACTGTTTTAAATTATCTTTATTGTTCATTAACCATTACTTTATACATAATTTAAAAGCAGTGTAAGGGAGATAATTTCAATGATGTATTTGATTTATCTCCCTTACACTGCTTTAAATTATGTTTTGTACTAAAGTATTTGTCCATTAACCAGGACAACCTTGTTTTTCCCCCTTTTTTGCCCCTAATTCCTAAACAGTTTGAGCCATAACCCCCAAAGCAAATACTAACCATCCCTTTGTGGTATGGAAACTTGTAGTATAATTTCAGAGAGATCCATACACCGTTCCACAGTTATTGTCTGGAAACTAGAAAATGCTTATTTTTGGCCCCTTTTTGGCCCCTAATTCCTTAACTGTTGGTACCATAACCCCCAAAATCAATCCCAACCTTCCTTTTGTGGTATTTAACCTTATGGTCAAATTTCAAAAAGATCCATTCACTTAAACTAAAGTTAGAGTGCGAAAACCAATGTGTCTTTGGACGACGACGACAACGACAACGACGACGCCAACATCATACCAATATACGACCACAAAATTTTTTGGCGGTCGTATAAAAACCAACAATACTGGTACAATACTAGATTAAAATTTAGTACAGTATAGTTTTATTCAGGCAAATTCAAGCACATATTTTAAAATTCACAAGACAAAACAAGAAAAATAATATATATATATATATATACTTTTAAAATAGTATCATAATATATTTTAATAAATTGCTTCGTTGAGCGCAGCTGGATACGACCGCAGATGTCCAACCCTAAAAAGTTGGGGCAAAAATGGACACAATATTCACGCTTGATACAGGTCTGAATTTGGATTGTAACTAAATTTTTGACACATAATAGGTTTCTGACACAGAATAACTGTAGTCAAAGAACTTCAAATTGGGTTATATGATTTGAATTTATATTCAATTTTTTGCTTTTGTGCAATACACTATGCTGTTGTGAATTGACCCCATCCCCCCTCAAAAAAAAAAATTTTACCCCGGTTTTTTGCTTTTGTGCAATACACTATGCTGTTGAATATTAACCCCCAAAAAAAAATATTTAAAGAAATTTTCTTTTAATTTCTGAAATTTTAAATGAGAAAAATTGTCCCCCCTCCAATTTTTTTCACCTCCCCCCTTTCCCTTATTCCCAAAAAAAATCTTTCCCTCAAGATATGGTCAGTATCTCAATTCAAATTTCTAATGGAGTTTGCAACCATAATTACCCATTTAAATACATCATAAAAGTTTTAAAATATAAAATGACATACATAGTCATGGCTAAAATTAATATTAATTAATAGTAACTGCTAAAAATAAATTGACAGCTAATCACCTCAAGACAATCATCATTTCTTAATACATAATTTACAAGCAGTGTAAGGGAGGTAATCAAACAGTGTTCTTTTAATTGATTTGGATTACCTCCCTTACACTGCTTTTAAATTGTCTCAATTGTCCTTTAACAAGAAAACCCTTGTTTTTCCCCTTTTTTTGCCCCTAATTACTTATTGGTTTGAGCCATAACCCCCCAAAGTCAATCCTAACCATCCCTTTGAAGTATGGAAACTTGTGGTATAATTTCAGAGAGATTCATACACTTTAACACAAGTTATTGTCTGGAAACTACAAAAATGCTTATTTGGGCCCCTTTTTGGCCCCTAATTCCTAAACAGTTGGGACCATAACCCCCAAAATCAATCCCAACCTTCCTTTAGTGGTTATAAACCTTGTGTTAAAATTTTATTGATTTCTTTTTACTTATACTAAAGTTATTATCCGGAAACCATCTGTCTTTGGACGACCCTGACGACGATGACAACATGATACCAATATACGACCAAAAAATTTTTAATTTTTGCGGTCGTATAAAACAGTGCTTAGAAAGAAGCCTGGGATATCCCATAAAAGCTTACATAGTATAGCTTATTTCCAATGGGTCCCTTATCTGAAAATATATAAAAATAATATTTCAAATTACAATGAATTATATGTTAAAATTTGATTTTCACCAAAAAAAAGAAAGATCAATTGTTTCTTAAAAAACATATAAAAAATCTCCAGTTTCTAGATTTCTTGCTGTTATTTTTAATTGTTCTTTAACTGCAGTCTTAAAAGCAGATCTATTTGATATATTTTTTATGTTGGCTGGTAGATTGTTCCAGTCTTGTATAGCATTATAAACAAAGCTGTTTTTATTACAGTTTTTAACATTTGGTACAAAATAATTATTATGTGCAGCACTTCTGGTATTATGATTATTCAAGTCAAAATGTTCACATAAATACTCTGGAGCATGTCCATGATATTGAATACATGGTTTAATCTAAGTTGACTAACTCTATCTTTTACACATCATTGCACATAGCATATTAACTTTATCTAAAATATCACATGTAATTCTAGTCCTTGGACCCAGACCTAGGATGAATCTCACCACCTTAATGACTTATTCTGTACAACTTGCAATGTTTTTGTCATCCCTTTGCCCAGACTACTATACCACGAAGAGCAAGAATAATCGAAATAGCATTGTATCAGAGCAGATGTGAGAGTCATCCTTGATCTGGTATCCAAACATTTGGCATTTCTATATAAAAATCTTAATCTTGCATTAACTTTTTTTATGACATTGGAAACTGTTTGTTCACAATTCAAAAAATTATCAATGTGAACTCCTAAATATTTGACACAATTTGTCGATTTGATAAGGTGATCATTACATTTGACCTGAAAATTAATATTTTGTCTAATCTTTTTTGGAGGTCCAAAAAGCATACATTCAGTTTTTCCTAGATGTAAAGACAGTTTATCATGTTTATTATCTACGAGCCAGTCTGAATCTGAACATTTTTCTAGAACTTTCCCCAATTTTGTAGAAATAATATCTGGATTTTTATGAGTATATAAAATAGCGCTATCATCAGCATATAAAATTAATTTACAGTCTTCATCAATACTGATTGACATATCATCTATATATGTTAAAAATAACAGCAGTCCAAGTGAAGGATACTTCCTTGGGGGACACCACATGTGACTTCCATGGGTTCCGACATAAAATTATTCAAAGATACAAACTGAATTCTATCAGAAAGATAAGATCTAAACCAGTCTACAGATTGAACACCTATAACTTCACGTTATGAACATAAAATATTGTGGTCGACAGTGTCGAACGCTTTTTGTAAATCTAACATAATCATTCCTGTACAAGTACCATTTGAGTTATTTGTTCTTATATAATCTAATAAATGTATAAGACATGTATCAGTGGAGTTTTTACCTCTGAAACCTGATTGAAATTCAAATAACGATTTGTTTTTTCCTAAAAACTCTGATAATTGTTTATAAACACTCCTTTCAAGAACTTTTGATACAATGCTAAGTATACTGACAGGTCTATAATTACCAACATCAAGAGCACTATTCTTTTTAAATAAAGTTTTACTCTTGCATATTTCATACTATTTGGAACAATTCCAGTCAAAATTTTATACCAATATTGTGACCGCCAAGTTTAGGTGATCCGTTCTCTACACACACATAAATGGCAAACCAGACAATAATTAAAATTAGACAGGATAAATGAACAAATAAATTATACATGTAGTTATCTCCCCAATTTTTATAAATGTTTCCCCCCAATAGGTTTAATACAAGATTCATTCCGTCACAGTTGTCCTGTCTCGTTGACTCTCAGATTAAGTCAAACTTAAAACAATCATATTTACCAGAAATTATCTTTCGAGTGGATTAAGACAAACGGAATCGTCAGTAACAACAGCGTGTTACCCAATATGGCGAAACACAGGGAACCATTGAGAGTAGGGAAAGAAACAAACACCACTATTCTACTGTACATATGCATCTACCTCCGTTTACATAGAATCACCACCTTAAAGTAATCTCAGAAATGACTGAGATATTGATAAGTTTTGAACGCATCAAAAATTGTAAAGTGTTGACTGTTTCAATCTGTATTTTCACAAGGATTTAAAATATTGGCCAAGGATGTACTGTACTGTAACTTTCAAACATATCCACAGATACGTGTCACGACACCAACAGGTGAGGGACGTTAGGGTCCAATATCAAATTGTATCCTGCAATCGACCTTCCTACCATACAAATACAGGTTGACAGATAACATTAAGCGATAGAAGAGAGATGAAAGATACCAAAGGGACATTCAAACTCATAAGTCGAAAATGGCATCTGGGTCCAATACACGTTCGCACCCACACGTTCGCCCCCAGTGTTCGTTCGCACCCTATTCTTATTTAGATACTGGTTGTTTTTTTTAGATGTATTTACCAAAATATTTAAACTTTTAAGAATACAAATTTGGGATTTTTAAATGAAATATTTTATTTGGTGATTTGATAATTAATTATTAAATGATTTAAAATTACGTATGATTACTGTTAGAAAATAAACTGTATTCATGCCGGACCTCAAACACTCGACTGTAAGAAATATTTATTATTTGGAACTGTTTGTGCATATTTTTTTTATATTTGAAACACGTCACCTGAGACTAATACATTATCTATTTAGTGCTGAGTTGTTTCGCCTGCTCAGAGACATATATATATACACATATATGTAAAATTGAGAATGTGTATATATGTCTGGCCTGCTTTACTGATTATAATTGAATTATATGTTGAAAAGCTTCATAAAGAATTCTCGAAATATACTGCTTAATTTTACCCAAAGGAACTTACGTTAAAGAAGGCTAACATAAACAGCAAAAACTGTCCTGTCTTAGAGTTTTAAACCGGGGAAACTCTACACAATAAGTTATGTTGGGGATTCGTTCGCTATACCCAGGTCTGTACTGATGTTATAGATTTCAATGAACGTAAATTGTGTACCACTGGTAAATTATTAAGTCAAAGGATTTCGTTATCACCTGGGACTATTATAGGCTGTTAGTATAATAGTCCCAGTTATCACACATTGCTTTAACCCTTTACTTAATTAGTTACATACAAAGATTTGGTTTGAAAGTTTGGCTGTGCCTATAGAATATTTATTACGAACGGGATATCACATATAATTGCTATCCAATGTCAGCAAGCCGGATTGAGCTTTGAATGGAATGTTAAAAAAAAAAAATTTTTTTATATAAAATTGGTGTTTAATGATGTATTGAATTTGATGTAACCGGCACAAAAATATTGAAATGGTTTATTTTTTCAAATCCACTGGTTTCCATGGCAATAAATTTCATTTCTTAAGATACTTGTCAACATACCACAAGCATTTGGTTACTGTTTTATTTCTTTTGAAACATAAATCCAATTTTCACTGAACTTAGCTTGTCAACTTTGGAAATAACACTTTGGTTTGTGCATGAAGTTCCCTAATTACCATTTTGGACAAACAAATATGTCTTGCCCATGATAATTTGGCACTGATCATGATCAGATAAAAGTGTGTCAGTTATACACTAAGCCTTTTAGTTTAATATGTACAGTTTAATAAGGCCTGCATACGATACAGTTACAGTGGAGGTAACTGACGTCGTTAACGTAAAATGTTATTTTTCGCGACGTCAAACTGTGACATATCGGGAAAAGATGCATTTTTTGACTGATTTGTATCATTCAAACTGATTTAACTTGAAAACGAGTTCATGGACCCCTCTTCTTAAAAATGGCATTTGGCTTGATTATGTGTGAAGATTATTAATGCCAAATTTTATGAACAAATCTCCGATGAATTTTTGTTAAATTAGAGAAATATATAGCAAGAAATGCCGTTTTTTTACTAAAACTAGGAAAATGTAATAAAAATGAATGATTTCCAAAGAATTATAAAACAAATTCGACCCTATTTATCTCTAAAACTAGCACATGAAGGTATATTTTTTTATTACATATTTGAATTGACTAGGTGAAAGATAGCTTGTATGCAAACTTTCGTTAAAAATTCATCATGGCCGGATCTGAACTGTATCGTATGCCCATAAAATCAAAGTGTAGTCTAATAGTTGATCAACATCTGCTTACATCAGTTCGGGACTACACGTAAGTTGTGTATCCGTCATATATTCTTTCAGCCATAGTCAGGGGTAGATGTTATGCTACTTCCTAATAATGGGACTATAAGAAAACTACATTTATCACATTTTTCATATATCCTAGTTAACATTTCTTCATCAGTATCAATTTCCAGATAAAGACTGTATACATGATGATATGAGCCAGACCTCACATCATAATTGTCGTAATTCATGCAAATTAAATTGTTTTTTATGATAACTCAAAAAGGATCAACTTTAAATCATCGAACAAAATTAAGTCTTTTTGAATTAAAGGGAAAATTCGCGATTTTTTACTTTTCATCTTATTATGTTCATAATACCATAAAAAACATATTTACCAAGTTTTATCTGGATATGAACACTAATAAAGAAGAAAATTGGGAATTAATAATTTAATTTATTCCAACTTCCTGACTTATGTGACGTAGTTTAAGTCTTTTTGCATGCCGGGAGTGAATAAATCTCATTGTAAGTCTTGTTCGTTAATCATCTAATAACGCGATTTAAAGCGCATCGACGACTTTTGGCGTAGCTATTAACCAACTGATAATTAAGAATGTAAAGTGATCAGCCATGCAATTTCAAAATTAAAATGTACGATTTATATTTAAAGGATTTCTGATATGATTATAATAATAAAAGTAAATCATACAATAGAATATATTTTTATGAATTTTTTTTCCGACGGACATTTTGAACAAACATATATAACTGATATTGTTTTACAAATGCATGTTTGTATTCTCACCTGAAGGCTTTTACTTCAGTCTAGCAAACATTTCCCACTAGTACTGTGTAAATTCAATGTGTATTGTACTGTGACACTTAGTGATTACCTGTTGAATGCGTTACAAAAAATCTTAACTTTTTTTCAAGTAGTCACTGAACCATGAAAACGAGGTCAATGACATTGGACATGTGACTGACGGAAACTTCGTAACATGAGGCATCCATATACAAAGTATGAAGCATCCAGATCTTCCACCTTCTAAAATATAAAGCTTTTAAGAAGTTAGCCAACACCGCCGCCGTCGTCGCCGCAGCCGGATCACTATCCCTATGTCGAGCTTTCTGCGACAAAAGTCGCAGCTGAGACTACTATAACACAGAGATTGGTCACTATAGATTTATCGGATTATCTGAGTCTCCGGTAATTAGCTACGTTATTTTAACGTAGTTTCGTATTCGACCGTAGCAGACGACATATATCACCTATCACTGAGAATACTATAACAGTATCGGATATTATTATTTTTCTTTTAAAAATAATTTAAAAACAAAATTGAATTAATCAAAAAAAAAAAGAATATAGTTTTTATCTTTCAAATGCAGTTATCTCTATTCATATTTAAATTTTTGTTTTTAATCATTAATAATTTGTTAATAGTTTGTTATTATGCGGCCACTCTTGAAAATGTGAATGTGATTAATCTTATCAATCTTACAGTTACATTGTTTTCCTACACGTCCGTTAATTGTATCTAATATACAATTATTTTACCTGTAAAGACAGGTAGTCTCAAAAGCATGGGAGATGAATTTTGTTTCACAGCTGGGTGCCCAAGGTACACGAGGCTCCGTTTATTGCAGTAAACTTTTATTCTATACTTGTAAGGTATTTCACTGCTGAGTGCCCAATATACATGTTTATTGTAGTAAACCTTGTCAAATATCGTCGGTGCACTTGTGGTAGGATTCAGGAGGGTGTGGATGGGGTTTAATAGAATGGAGAAATAGGGGCAAAAAAAGTATAGAATGGAGAAATAGGGGCAAAAAAAGTATAGAATGGAGAAAAATGGACCGACAAATAAAGAATATAGAAGAGAAAATAATAAGTTATTAAGATTTAAGAATAGAGAAAAATGGCATAGAAATTATAGGAAATAAAGAACCCCCATCCAGACCCTCATTCAGATTATCCAACGTAATTTTTTTTTTTCAAACAAGTTTCAACCCCCCCACTTTTTTTTAATTTCCGTCTGATAATTAGGTCAAGTTTTTGCAAACAATGTAATAAGCGGCGATCACAGAAGAGAGAAAAAATTTCATTAAAGGTAAATGAGTAATTTCCTTACGTAACAGATCAGCAAAGAGGTTATAACTGCAATGGATACATAAAGCAAACATAAGCCCTACAAATTATATATATGTTCCCAAAATATCGCCGGCATTTTCATTTTTCAATTCACAATGTCCAGTAACATTGATTTTTTATCTTGGGATGATAGTGATCTCAATCTTGATCTTTTACGTGGTGAATATACTGCATCAGATATTGAATCTGAGGATGACTATATGTCCCTGCTGCAAATACTGCAAAAACTCCAAAAGAAGCATCAACCGCAAGTACATGTAAATCAGAACGAAGAAGCTTCAAAATTACGTGACTGAATAATCAAATTATCTCTATGTTAACATAAATAGAACCACATTAGTGTAAATTACGATGAAATATGTGCCCTCTTTCAAAATCCCAGACAAGAAATTTTGTGCTTCAATACAGAGCCGTAAAGTTTTTTGAAAATTTGAATATTGTCTATTGTTAAAGTGTCGTATGTTTTAGTTATATCGCTATGCTTTTTGTAACCCTAATAATTGAGCAACTCAGATGAAAAGAGTTGTGATTTGCTTTAGTTTTTTTAGCCACAGCAAATATAAATGTGCTTGTTCAATGTTTGGTGACAAACCATGTTAATTGTTGTCGGCATGATGCTTTGTAAATAGGTTCCCTATAACATTTTTTTGTTGGGTAACTGCTGACAGTTTACCATGTGAAAATTCTGAGAAGCCA